TTTGGTTATTGAGAAGAAGTTGTTTGAAGATTTTAACATATTTGACCCCTGTGACCTTGAAAGTGGGTCAAGGTCATTTATTTGAACAAACTTGGTAGCCCTTGATCCCAGCATGCTACTGGCCAAATATCATCTTCCTAGGCCTTTTGGTTATGGAAAAGAAGTTGTTTAAAGCAAAAAGTTGACGCCGGACAGACGGACGACGGACTCCGCACCATAACATAAGCTCACTTGCCCTTTGGGCAGGTGAGCTTACAATTATTCTTTCTTTGGAGTTAAAACTGTTTTCATAGATAACTACAAATTAATGGAGACACTATATAATAAAATTTATCTTGTTAAAGTTTCAGGAGACGAAAATGAAAAATGTCTGAATCGACAACATACCGAGAATAAGAAGATATCCATACAATTTGATTATCAGCAGGCAGCAGATGCTGGAAGTGTGCAGAATTATTTTTACTTCACACCAGACATTCAATATTACAACCATGAACTTGATGTTGCTGTCCTGAAACTTTTACAAGATTCAACTAACCTACCAGAATGTTTTGAGCACTTCAGTCCTTTCCAACGTGGGATGAAAGCACACATGATTGGTCATCCTCAAGGAGGTATATTAGAGGTAGAAGCAAACATTGAAGGCTTTCAAATTTCTGATGAGTTGTACAAGGATGCAGTAGCCTGGAGTACTGCAAAATACCGTGAAAATGGGTACCGTGGGATTCAGGACAGTCGAAAGATTCTGTTTCACTGTAGATTTGCCCATGGTACATCAGGTAGTCCCGGTTGTTATACTGATCCAACCAAGGAAAACGCTGAAGTAGTTTGGATGTTGCTTGAGGGATATCCAGGGTTTTATTATAAACACCTGACTCCTGCTGAACAGATAGAAGTTCCAAAGGCATACCTCATTCAGCAGGGTATCACAATGGAGGCAATTTGGAGACACATGTCAAAGGAAAACCGAGATTTATGTCTAAAAATATTTGGTCACCGTAACGAACACTTTTTTCCAATCTGAGGTATTAATGAGTCATAACAAGTTGGGTGGAGATTTTAGAGGTTTATTAAATGGTGATAGTCGACCGGTTTACCAGTTTGGTCACATCAGAACGGCAAATTGCAGATTTCTAGCCCCTGAGATACCTTTTTTCTTGACTAAACAATTGATATGAATTGTATTATCAAGAAAGTCAAAATAAGAGAGAAACTTGATACATTGTGAATTGTGTGTAATGATCGCCCAAAATTAGTGGTCATTATATCATAGGGCAGTGTATCAATGTATTGGATCCGTTCCCTTGTGGTTTTTAACACTGAAATTTCCTAAAAGCACATGGAAAATGTCTGAATTTATTGAGCTTTCCCTACATGATTGAACTGTAAAAGGTGATTTGTAAAATGTGCAATAGGATGTGAATCTTGTATCACACGAAGTACTTTACCATACAGTGCCCCACATTATACAAAGTAGAACTAGCGAGTTTAAGAAGTGTAGAAAGATCTGAACAGTTCAGTATGCTAGGGGAAGACCAAAAGTGATAATTATTTTTTGGAGAAAGCAACACATTTATTATGGACGAAGAATAGGAAAATTTGTTGGGATGACCACAGAAATTAACACACTTCTCGAAAATTTTGTTGAAACATATTTACTAGGAAACATTAGTATTATCTACATAATGTTCAGTTGAATTCCTGTAAACTGTTGAAATTATTGTTTAAAATGGCAAGGCTACATAAAATCTTGCATGAAGAAATGTCTTGTTCATTATAAAAAAAAAAAAAAAAATCGCAGAGGGGATTGGCAACTCTGCCCCAGTCAAGATTATATAGCACGTCGCTC